CAATAAGCAGAGTTACGAATGAGGAACCCTCCTGTCATCAAGGCCTTCTCGCAGTGCCTAGACACGCCAAATAACGTGCTCCAATGCGAAGGCCGCGACGCAACCGCAGCAAGTAGGGTTTGTCTTATTTTGTTGTTTAAGTTCTGAGTGGCTGCTATCAGAGTCCAACAATGCAACAGAAGTGCGTCCGTTCTTCCGTCCATCCGTCGCGCCCGTGCGACGGATGGACGGAAGAACGGCGTTAGTCCCTTGTTGACAACTCAACAACTGACTGATGAGAGAGAATTGGTAAATACAAAAATGGTAGTGGTTAAATGGTGCAAAACCGAGTACGCGTACTGAATTTCGTTCTCGTACAGCTTATCTGGGTAGTATATTGAAAGAAACTGCCAGCGAAATTTTTAGAGTTGAAAAAAAAGAATAGATCAGTATAATTAAGTGTATCTGTATTCTATATCAGGTTGAAGATAACATCTCTCATTTTCATGACATAGGGGATAAAAAATTACGAATCCCAAGCCAATTATATCAAAGCGCTTGGTTAAGCCTATTTTTATCATCCTCTTCACGTGAACTGTTTTTTTTTTTTTGCATTTTTATCTTTACGAAGTGATGCCTGACCAATAAATTACCCATGTACAGAAAAGGATGAATTTTTTTACCCATTGCTCTGGATGAGTAATTTTTTCTTTACACTTTTTTGACATCTTGCCACCTTGGCTGATTATGCCTAATTTCGAGAACACTTTCAAGCCATTCCTCGCTATGGTATATTCATTCAAAAGAGAACAGATAGAGATGAATAGATATCGTCGATGGCTCTATTTGCACAAGTCGGTGGGGCGGCACTTTGCACCTGCCATTGAGGCAGATGAGATTTGCTACCACCTCGTCCGGAAGGTTCTTTTTGGGTTAGGCAAAGCCTCCAGCCGATCGACAGATCTTGGTAACCGGCTAAGTGTGGGATTTAGTAGTTGTGTTTATTTACAACCGTTGCTTCTCCGCCTCCTGAAATTACCCTAGCTCTGAGCGGGACACAAAACCCTTAAGGATGTTCACGAATCAATTTTGAAGTAGAGTGAAAACTACGGAATTCATAGATAGAGTAATGAAGTATAATCATTTGAGGAAACTTTCTTGAAAGCGCGGGTGTTCTCCTTCATATAGATCAAGGTAAAACATACATGAAAAGATTTGGGTCGACTTCAACACGAAAAGCTTTTCGCCCGATGCGGGGAAAGAATTGTTTGAAGTAGTTTTTCCACAGAATCACCCTAGCTGACACTAAGCAGCCGGGTAATGGTAGAGTTGACATCACCCTCTAGACGAGCCCTTACGTCTGAAGTCGACAGTGGATTTTCAGATACCAGATACACTATTCCGGGCAATATTTTGCGGGCATTCTCGCAGAGCTACGACAGTACATTGTAACCTTTGGCTTAAGTATTGAAACGAAAAAATTCTATCATAATTCAGTCCTGATCACTGCTATTGTCACTTTTTGTCAAGATTCTGTACTATGTGTGTCATCATACGAAACATTCGAAGGTATTATGGCTACATCGTCAATTCGAGAAGAGTTAGGGAGTACGAGCTCTTGCCTTTTGTCTGTCCTCATCAATTACCATCAGTTCCTGTTACCAGCCATTTGTGTTCTCTACACATCATCTGGCAAAGTGCCAAGATTTCACACCCACATGATATCTATGTAGTAGGATCCATGCGCACATCTGTTCCGATCGAAAGTTATGTCCATTACTACTTGCTGCTGTATCAGTACTATTTGCATTGAAGATGTTGTCTACAGTTATACGAAGGATGTGTACCGCTGGAGAGCAACGTTTGGTTTGGATTGATTGCGAGATGACAGGGCTAAATCATGAAAAACAAACGTTAGTAGAAATCGCGACGATTGTCACTGACGGCGATCTTAATGTGAGTCTTACTGTTGCTTTGTTGAAAAAAGAAAATTCAATTTGATCAGTTCTAGGTGGTTGCTGAAGGACCGGACATCGTTATAAACCAACCAGAAGCTGTTCTGCGAAATATGGAAGACTGGCCAAGGGAGACATTCTCAAAAAACGGCCTTCTTCAGAAAATTCGCGAGAGTACTGTTAGCCTGCGCGAAGCAGAAGATATGGTGAGAATTCTTGGGGTATTCTTCTTGGATTGAGACTATCTGGGCTGGGCCGCCCTTCAGTGACTTCAGAAGTCGCTTTTGTTATTTCTGGCTGGACGGAGTGGGGGAAATATGTTTACATGGCGGTTATTTAATAGGATCAGTGTGCACTTTGTTGAAGAGAATGGATGAGTAAAAGAGAATCTGAATGAGGTTTTTGTAGGAGCCGTGAGGAGGGTCGGTACTCAATATTACACCTCCATTATGATTTTCTTCTGGATTTCAATGGCTTTAACCTGTGTTTCAAAGGATGTTGATTTTTGTTCCCCTGCGTATGCCTATCACCGCGATGGAGCTCTTCTCACGCTTTTTAGTTTGTACCGGTTCCTTCCCCTCAGCTCCTCTTTCCTTCCCCTCAGCTCCTTTTATCGGAGACGCAATAAGTAGGGGTCATCGTATATCATTAGCTTGAAAGGTATAAGGTAAATACGTGGTGGATGATACATATTGTATAAATGTTGTTCCAATTCCAATTCCAATCCGATTTTTGTTATAATGGAAGGCTGTACATTATTGACAGGTGCTGGAATTCCTGAAGAGGAACACAGTTAAAGGAAGATGTCCCCTGGCAGGAAATAGCGTTCATATGGATAGAAGGTTTGGTCAGCTTTAAGTTATCTCTTCTTCACGTAGTAGGACTTTTTGGTTCAGATTTATTTCCAAGTATATGCCTCGACTTGATAAACATCTCCATTACCGTATTGTGGATGTTTCTACTGTTAAAGAAGTAAGCTGGCAATCGATTTGTGTCTTTCAATGTGCGAAGAAATTTTTTTTCAGCTGGCTTCCAGATGGTTTCCCGAAGAGTACGCGAAGGCACCAATAAAAAAAGGGACTCACAGAGCTTTAGATGATATACGTGAAAGCATTGAAGAGCTACGTTTCTACCGCTCTGCGATTTTTCGACAATGATGCATACCCTTTCCAGCCTTATTTTGTTTCTAAGTATACCAGTAGCAAAAACAGCTGTGCAAGAGCTCAATGCATGATCACGCAAAAAATTTGCACACACTCAGGAGTACGTAGGTTGCCTTTTATATTTTGAGATTTGAAAATAGAAACAAATACTATTCATTGAAAATCGGTTTACTACTTTTCAAAATTCTCTACATTAAGATCAATATACTTTTTCATGGGCTCGATAAAACATGGATTCTGAGCGCGTCAACGGCTTCTTCAGGTGTCGAAAAGCGTTGACCTCTCATTTTATTTTGTACGTACGATGAGAAGAAGTCACCCGGGAACTACATGGCTGAAGACTCATCAAATCGTTGTTTTGAATGCTCAAAAATGAAGTTGTTTGAGCCGATGTGTAGGAGCTCGCATTGTCGTGGTGAAGAGTGATCCGTCTTCAGCAGTTGGTTTTCCTGATTTTTTTGGAGGTCAACTGGCAAACAAATGGTAGTATACCACTCAGAATTGACTGTTCTGCTTGTTCTAGTGGTACGGTTGCGACATGTTCAGTTTTTCCAAAAAAAAACATGAGATCAATTGCCCCGAAGTGCTTGGTGCGCGACAGCTCTTGTTGGATTTGGCTCATCTTGAAGTACCCACACGGTCGACTGCTGTTTCCTTTCGGGCTCATACGCATATATCCATGATCCATCACCTGTCTCGATGTCGTAGACGTGTTTCGAAGCACCGCGATCGATTTTTTTGAGCATTTCTTTTGATCAATCGACACGGGTTCCTTTTTTGGAGGATTGAAAAATTTTTCAAAAACAATTTTTTACAGTCAAATGTTCATGCA